CTTCAAGCGTGTGGGTGATCAGTTCACTGCTATGTTCCGTCGCAAGGCTTTCTTGCACTGGTACACTGGTGAGGGTATGGACGAGATGGAGTTCACTGAGGCTGAGAGCAACATGAACGATCTCGTCTCCGAATACCAGCAGTACCAGGACGCCTCCATTTCCGAGGGCGAGGAGGAATAGTAAGTTCTCCCGAATGTCGCGCAGAAAAAAAATGTCACTAACTCTGTCCCAGCCCCGAGGACGAGATCATTGATGAGCAGGAGTAAACTTTTGGCGGTCAAGAATGACGCAAAGCGGGACGCGCTCTTTAATACCCTTGATAAGCTTACATTCTCAAAGGACGTGGGCTCGTTGTACCGGTCATTGTCGGTGAACTATTTCGTTTGAGCGCCTTTGATTTCCCCCTTCCTGTTCTTTTTTTTACTTACCTAGGCCAATGGAAGCCTGAAACCATCCAAATCCATAGCACATAGTTCGAAGCAATTTATAGTTTATTGCTTGGTATGCAGCGTATGTGAGCCGCTTCTGCTCGCCTACGGTATTTCTGCGGTAGCTTGAAACTGTGTAGGATCACCTAGTGACGTCTATCGAGACATGGGTGGACGTAAAATGGAAAAACTGGGTTATAGGGATGAGCAGTTAGCATAGAGCGGCTTCTTCAGGACTTAATGGTATATTGCACCCACAGGGGGGGGAGGGGGGGAGTATACATCACGTGACGTGTCTTCGGCTAACAACCGGAAGCATCAATCAATACTTCAAGCCCCCACCAATCAGCACGCTGCTATATGCTGCCGGCGCCACTAAGCGGAGGAGCGCTTCGTCAGGTTCCTACCGGGGCCGGGGCTTTCAGACTAGCTAGTAGTAGCTACTAAGTGGATGCAGGTACCGTACAGCTTAGCACTGTACTATGAGCATACCATACCCCTGCCCGCTCCCCCTTGCAGTTCTGTCAAGCGAGGTCCATTGAGGGTGGATATCTTTCTGTCAAATAGAACACCCGCGTGCTACTTGGATGACACTTGGAATTGCTGGAACCACGTGAATGAGGATTATCTAGGCCCGGGGGGTAGGCGCGGTTTCCTAATTTGGGTTGTTTCTTGGTTGTTCCAGTTCCAGTTCCGGTGGCGGAATCGGTGTACTGCTGTAATTGTACCTGTATGCTTCGGGGGCGCCCGTCCGGTTGGATTTGGGTGGTTGGTGGTTGGTCGTCGCGGTGTGTTGCCTGGTGGTTGCTAGGGCGCAGGGTAAGGGGGATGGGGGGGGGGCACTTTGAAACGCACCTAAATATGTACAACTGTGTGCAGTATTTTGTGTGCGCAAATGCACTAATGGGGGGGGGGCGAGGGGGCAGTAGTGCACTTGCGTAGTATTTTCATTGTCTCAGTTATGAGAAGATGTCCGCTTTTTGCTGTGGGCCTTCTATTTCAGATGGTTGAAACAGGGATATGAAGAGTTATGAGGATTGCGTACAAGAGACAAGTCAGGGCATTTGCAGCTTTGTTCAAGGGGGAGTGAGGAGATTGGGTTGGGAAATCGTATGGTTTTGATTACACTTCTTTAATCAATGATCTTTCTCCAAAAACAATGAACCGATCACCAGTCACATTAGGTAAGAAAGTCACATAGCAGAAGCCTTGAAAGGGGGAATAGAGCCAAGAAAAGAAAAGTATATACATATGTACAGTGAAAGATGGGGAATCAAAGTGGTAGACATGGGGAAAAGAAAAGGAAATGGGATATAGTGCCGAATAAAGGAAAGAGATTAGGTGGGGTGGTAATTGTACCAGACCCGAGAAGTAGATGGTTCAGTCACCATTTTACGCCTTCAGTTCTACCGACTCCTCGTTGCCGGCGGGTGTGATGCTGCGCTTGGAGGAGCTCTCGGCGTGCTCGGGGCTGGTGCCGGCGATGACGTCGCGTGTGATTTCGACATAGTCGTACTGTTTTCTCCAGAGTTAGTTCTTTGCTCATTATGATAGAAGGACTCGACTATTAGGGAGACATACGGCAAATTCACCGATCTCGGCGTCATCGGTACCCAGGATCTCATCTTCCTCGGAGATGCGTAGGTGGAGGCCAGGGATCAAGTTGATCAGGAAGAGAATGATGCAGCTGCCGAAGAAAGAGTAGGCCATGCCGGAGACAGAGTCGGCGAGCTGGTAGCCGAGTTGGACGTAGTTGTGGTTGATCCATCCACCGTCAATGACGGTGGAGCCATCAAGATGAGCAATGTAGTCACTAGTATGATGTTAGTGGAGTGCTTGCAGCCGAGACAAAAGACAGAGACATACGCGGCAAAAATTCCGGTCAAAAGGTTGCCAACAAGACCACCGATACCGTGGACAGCGAAGATGTCCAAGCTGTCATCGATTTGGATCACATATTTCAGCTTGGTGGCATAGTTGCAGGCAACAGCACCGACCACGCCGAAAATGAAGGCCGCCCAAGGTGTGACGAAGCCGGATCCTGGAGTGATGGCAACCAAACCGGCAATGGCACCGGAACAGAATCCAACCATAGACCATTTCCTCTCAAGTCGGTAGTCCATAAGACACCAGGTGACACCACCCACCGATGCAGCAAGGTTGGTGACAACGGCAGCCATCACGGCACGCAGGTTGGCAGCCAGAGCGGAGCCTGCATTGAAACCGAACCATCCAACCCAGAGAAAGACCGTGCCGATGACGACATGGGTGACATTGTGAGGGCGGTAGTTGAGCTCGTGTGTTCCATGGCCACGACGCTTTCCGAGCATGAGAGAGTATGCAAGAGCGGCAGAGCCGGAGGCGATGTGGACAGGAGTACCACCGGCGAAGTCGAGACCTCCTAGCTTGAACACCCAACCGGACGCGTTCCATGTCCAGCAGGCGAGGGGGTCGTAGATGATGGTGGTCCAGACAAAGCTGAAGACCATGCAAGGAAGCATGCGACCGCGCTCAGCGACGGCACCGACTGCAAGGGCCACCCTGGTGTCATCCTGTCAGATATGCAGCCTTATCATGGATCCAGCAAAGGTATACTCACGTAATAGCTGCGAACATTCCCTGGAAGACAGCGAACAGAAGATCCGGTACTTTAGTGCTGCCAACGGAAGGAGCTCCCAGGACACCCTTCATACCGAAGTTCTGCAAATCTCCAATATAACTTCCGGCCGTGTGGGAGAAGGCTAGCGAATACCCCCAGAAGAACCATTGAAAAGATACCACCCCGACCGACATTATCGAGAGCCAGATTAGCGACAGAGCTGACTTGCGTCGAGCAAGACCGGAATAAAAGAAGCTGGTAGGGTTAGCTCTCGACTCATTATCTTTGACACTAGGAACGGTCCCATACCCGACACCCGGAATCATCAATAGCACCAGGGCAGTGGAGGTAATCACCCAAGCAATGTCCCCAGACTGATAAAAGTTAGCGAAAGCCAAGCACCAAGCGCCTAAGGAGCTTACACTGTAATAAATGTTGAGGTCTTCCGTCAGGGAATCACCGCCCGTTGCACCCGTGCCATTGTAGGCAACGGGATACGCCGACATCGTGAATTTCACAAGATGCACAGAACTTGTTACGAGATCGGAAAGAAAGGACTGTGGGTTGCAGCCTATTTACCACAGCTTGGCAAGAGGTTAAAGTACTATCGAAAGCGGAGGCGGTACCCAAGCCTAGGGGGTCTCGAGGGCAATGGAAGGAACAGGCACGTATTAGACCGACAGCAAGGAAAGCAAGTTGAGGAAAGTCCGGGCACTGATCGATGAATAATTGAATCTGAGCTGTTACCGATTTAGGGCAACGGGGTGGCTGATCAATAATAGAATGAGAAGTATAGATATCAAATATAGTTAAGAAAAAAAGAGAGGTCAGGTTAGGGGGAGATGCAGGAGTGATAAATAGTGGTGATGATAGTCGGCGGCCGGAGATATTACCAGTCAGATGAAAAGCGCCATCGTCTCACTTGCTTCGAACCCTGGAAGGGCTCCACATCATCGGAGCCATTCTGGGGGTGTTCTCTTGCTTGGCGACAGGATTAGTTTGGTCTTAATACGATGCGATATCTACTGATAGATATCGGAGGACTGGCCATGGCGGCGGATCCAGACGGGTGGAGTTGCTGGAGGAAAGCCATCACGGACCAATGTTATTTCTCACATTGATTGACTTGGCAGTAATCCTCTGACCTGCAGCTGATTGAAGTCACTTTTCATTCTCCGACCTGTCGAGAACGTGGATGAGCATGTTGGGAGCAGAGTTCCCCGGCATTGGCCTGTTCATCGTGCATGGACGCCTAATCCATCAGCCATGGCTGATGGCTGCATATCGTTTACATGTCGGAAGCGGCAAACAGACCGGCAGGCTCAGAGTGATAGCAGTAGGTATGCATCGTGATGCGGGCCTCAAACACGGGGAGAGATTAGGGATTTCATTGACAGAAGAGGGTCAATAATGCAAATGCGCGGAAGTATGGATAAGGAGAGAAGTCTATTCAGCCCGGGAGAAATCCTTCGGTTCAGGCAGCATCGGGACTGGCTGGAGATAGTCATCCTTGTGTCTTATCAGTGGGAAATTAAGAGTTAGTCAGGTAGACAATTGCATGCACAGGTGGTAAGGGGGTCAAAGAGAGTTCCTTATCTCTCGCCAGATACGAACAGTACATGTAAGTAACTATGCCACTGACAGGGCTGATTCTTGGATATGGCGGACTTGCCATCCTTCGTGAAGCCCCATCGGGAGGCGCAGGAAAGACCACGAGGTTTCTCCCAAACCTTGCAGATCTGCCCCACTGACGCTCTGAACTGTAGTGGTACAGGACAAATGCACCACCAGGATGGTTGAATGAGTTCGTGCAATGGGGTGTTTAGTGGTTAGTTGTTCCTAAACCTTCCGAGAGGAGAGAGCGGAAGGCCAGAACCCGCTGGGAAGTCCTTATCTTCCTCCGTTGCGGCGACCAATCACCATCAGCTCGGGCAGAAGTCTTATCTGCTACACAATCTACAAGGCTGTTGATTACGAACGACCCAAACTACCTCCTATTGAACTTATTATTATTACTCGACCTGCTCGTCCTTGCGTTGCATCAGACATCATTGATGACGCCAAGAAATCAGTCACATTAGTTCGCTATATCTGACACGCAACGATGGTGGCACTGCTATGCAGCTTCCGAGGTCCATCTACAAGTGTAGCTACAGCATCACTGTTCCCCATGTGGTCCGTTCCTTTGTGAACTTGGAAAGCTTGATACGCCACTCCATACGAGTAGGAATACGAAGACATACTCAACACTGCCAGACAGGAAGAGCTCCATTGTTGTTGTAATCCGATGATCACACAGAGCCCGACCCGATCGCTTCGGCCGCTTCCAGCGCAACCGCAAACCGAGCCTTGAGATCCTCCACATTCTCAACCCCGACACTAACGCGCAGCAAATCGGCCGGCACGCCGAACCCCGCGGCCCACTCCAACTCCCAATAGTGCGCGAGAAGAACATAGGGCGACGTCAAGGTGAAGTTGGTGCCGAGACTCGGCCCTTTGGCCGTCTCGATGCGATCAAAGAATGCCATCGCATGTTCCTTCCGGTGAAACGTGAAAGATAACAACCCCCCATACCCGCCCGTGGGGGTCCGACACTCGTCATAGAATCGCTTTGTCGGGCTATACTTAGGGTAGTAGACGTCCTTGATCAGCGGATGGACCTGCAAAATATGGCAGATGGCCTCGGCATTGTCGTTTATTCTCCTGATGCGCGCCACGAAGTCCCGGCTGTTGCGCTCCATGAACAGAACGTCCTCGACCCAATAGTTGTTTTCCTCAAAATCCGCATCGAACGCCCGCTTCAGTGGCAGATAGTGTCGGCTTTGGGGGTTCAGGATAGCGCTGCCACCCATCACGTTACAATCGCCTGAGAATACCTTCGTGAGACTGTTGACGACCACGTCGGCATGGGGCAGGAGCTGGACATTGACCGAGTTGCCAATCGTCTCGTCCACCACCACGGCGAAATCATACTTGTCGGCCAGTTGGCGGATGCGCCGGAGATCGGGGCTCTTCAGCATCGGATTCCCGGGAAATTCGCAGAAGAAGGCCAGGTACCGTTCGCCAGCTTGCAGGCGGGCTTCTAGGTCGTCCAGCTCGTCCGAGGAGCCATGTCCGTAGAACAGACATCCGGGGCCGAATTTCTGCAGGATCTTCAAGGTGTCGACATACGGGAAACCAAACGAGATACTCTTCCGTTGGCCTCGAACTGCGAGCAGCATCCGGTGCGTGTTGAAAATGGCATTCATGCCGCACGGGTAGAGGTAAACGTCGTCCTCGGACAGTCCGGTCACCCCCCGCGAATTGGGTTGTGGGTTTGGTTGTTTGACTGCAGCCGTAGATGTAAGATCCACTTCCTCTAACAAATAGCCTGCTAGGCGTCGACGGATCGCTATTCTGGCGTTGTTGACAAATGAGAGATCCAAGTTCCGTCCAAATCGCTCCTCCAGGAACTGCGTGCTTTCCCGGCTATCTGCTGCAGCGTTGTGCTTGTCATCGAGTGCAGTTTTCTTTGACTCAATCATAACCTTGTTCTCCGCTTCGGGAGATGTTCGACGATGATCTGTGACGGAATCTCTTCGGTACCTCTTTGGGCCTCTTTTGTGATTCACTATCGGCTGCGACTGTTGCTGCGTTTGCGATACTGGTGCGGTGGTCGCAGAATCCATCACTAGCATGTCCTCCTCGAAAAGTGCGTGACAAAATTCTGCCTGTCGACTTGAGATCCCATCTCCGGAATGTTGCCAATATTGTTTTGCGATTGGGAACAGATCCTCATGGAATATGACGGCGGATACTGAGGGCGAGGCCTTTTTAGCAATGGCTCTCAAATGAGTCGCCGAGCTCTTATTATCCAGACACAAATCAATTATCTTGACATTTGCAGCCAGTCCCACCTTCGCGGGTTCTGTCTTGGTAGTGTTGACAATGAAGTCACGACATCTCTCAGCAGCCTTGCGGGATGGGAACAACATCGCCTTCTGATTACCGCTTCTTGTTCCTTCTGAGCAACATCTGGTCACGATGTCATCTGCAAATATAGCAATGAGGTCGTGGATATAGAATCGTGGATAGCCATTGGAGATTTTGTCCATCACGCGCTTGGCACCTTCCTCATAATCAATGTTGTCCGTCCATGTTGGCAGGGACACGCTCACAGCATGAGCTGTGAGGGAAGGAATTGAGCCACCCAAGTCTATGTTTGACGACATTGTTGAATTATAGAGTGAAGGTGATGCTGGTAGAGTCCGAAGTCAAGGTGTAGCTGAGAGCAGCCAAGCACTGTATGTGTTGATTTAAGCTTAAACAAGCCTTGCAGAATACAGGCATTCACTTCTTCAATGGATCAACAAGCACAGCATGTCTATCTTTTAGTGCGCAGATGAGAAAGCGCGGGGTTAAATACTTGGAGGAACTAATTTCTGTAAGCAACAAGCCTGTACCGAACCTCTGAGTCATTATATCTTTTCCCGCCACAACTTTTACATCCTCGAATCGTTCTCCAGCTTCTCCACCTATTTGTTTGACCCGAAAGCATCAAGTACGCAGTCCGTTGGCCGACATTCGAGATTATCTTGCTTCTTCGGCACCATGACTTAACCGAAAGGTCGAAATTAAACAAGTTTCTGGGTCATCCCAATTGAATTTCTTGGCTTATCTTGAAAGATCTTTGTTGCTCTACAATTCACGAAGCTACAGGCCCACGCCGCTGCCCCCTCAACATTCAATCCCTCAACCGCTGTATCAATTGAGCGGAAAAGAGACTTTTCTGTACTACTGCGGAGAGAAGTGCCTTTTGCGCCTCAGCACCTGAATGGATAAGGATAGGTGTGCGTCCGTCATGATTTGACACCGTCAATCACACAAGGCAGCGCGCATAGCATCCCGAGTCACCGTCGTTGGCGGCATCGCCCATCGATCTGATGAAGAAAGTGCCTATTCTTCCCTGCGCAGGAGCATTGACTATGCACTCAGGCTTCTCTATCCACTGCAGGTTAACTCGGGCTTTCCGATCTAATGCACTAATGCAAGCCCCTCGTAGTCCATGCGTATGGTGGGTTGATCAATACCAATATGGAAATGAGAGACAGCCGTCTACTTCTTCGGATGCAGATCATCGAAGGGATCATCGGGATCAAAGAGCATGCGCCAATGTTGATCTTCCGGCATTAACTGGAATGAGCGCTGATGGGGACAATGGAATTAGGTATCATGGCATGGCAAATAATTTAAAGTATACAAAGTACTCCGCAAATCCCGTAGTGTCATGAGTACAGTACACTCGGTGCTCCGCACTGGTGCTTCGCTTGTGAAAGCTCTGATTAGGCCTTCGACCCTAAGGACAATGTCATGAGATTGAGATAGTGACCTATCATCGCAGACCGCGCGTCATTTCCAAATCCTGAAATTCGATTACCCCGTACCTTTTTCTAAGAGAAGTGATTGCATGGAAGGTGTACAGTCACAGTCACCGCGAGATTGGTGTGGCGGTGACGTGATTAGTCATGGGCGGTGGGCAGTCTTCGATTCCGCTTCTACATGAAGCTCTCTTGAACCTCCCTCCGAACAGCGTCTCCGACGTCGCCGACTCATTGGCATTCAGTGCTAGCTATATCACACTTCTTATCGCGCTGAGCACTTATTGATCGACTGAATCGATTACCTTTGCCACAACCGCACGCCTGAAGACGCATACGCGTTTGCCAGGGATTTTTTTTGATAGGTCCAGCAGCAGAAGCATGCACCGCCACAGCCCCTATCTATCCGCTTGAGGCTTTCCCTTCCAACCCGCTCTCTAGCACTGGCCATGCGAGATGGAGTCCCAACCAGATCGTGGGTTCCAGATCATGGAGCATCCTGATATGAACAATCATGACTCGGATGGCTCCGGTTCCTCCGATGAGCTGCTGCAACAGCCATACTCAATCCGGTCGGACTCCAGCTTCACGGAGAATTTCGATGGCCAGATCCCAACCCCCGCGTCGACCATCGCCAACTCTCCTACCCCATCCCTTCCCAGCGGTATCCCTCCATGGGTCACGGGCACACCATCACGCCCGCGGGGTGCGAGCGTTGGTGCCTCTGCTCTCGACAAAGCACAACCTGTAGACGGTCTGCCAGGTGACTTAAGGTCGCAACGCCCGTCCGGCCCCGCTCGGACACCTTCCAACACCTACGCCCCTCAACGCCGCCCACCCCAATACATCAGCTTCCAGAATGACCGTCAGAGATCCTCGTCCACGAAGCGAACCTCCCGAAGAGACCCGAACGCCCAGTATCGAGCGCAGGAGAAGGCGTACGTCCAGCGCATCCGGGCCGACCCACAGGCATGGTACAACCATTTCGACGAAGCTCAGAATATGAGCCCGGGTATCGGTGACTCGGATCTGGAGGAACCATCGCCCTCGTCAGAAGTTCCCTTCGAAGATGATGCCTACGACCCTGACATACAACTTTTCCTCAACGACGATAACTTGCCGACGATCGATGAGCTGAAGAACCCCAGAAATCAGGAAAGGCTGGAGTGGCACTCCATGTTGTCTTCGGTCTTGAAAGGAGATGTCGTCAAGCAGGAAAAGCAACGTCTTCTGGGGTCTACGGACTCCAAGAGGTCCTCCGCCCAAAATAATGCGATATGGCTGGGTGTCAGAGCGAGAACGTGCGGGCGCAGTGTGGCTCTGCAGCGAAAGCTGATCGAAGAGGCTCGGAGTGGACTGGGACCTATCATCGAAGAAATCATCAAGTTCGAGATCAAAGGTGAGACGGAGATTGGGAAGCCTCCCATTCAACAGGTCGAGGACATCGTGGGACAGATCGAGAGGTGTGAAAGCTTGTATTCCACTCACAAAGAGCTGGAAAGCGCACACCCTCGCATTGCTTCAGATGAGTTTCGATCGAGTCGGGATGCCGTTCTTGCCTGGCACAATACAACGATCTTGATCAACACTGAACTTGCTATTCTGCAGAAGTGGGTTGGCAACGACGAGCTAGACTTCAGCAAGCCAAGGACAAAGTCAATCAACAGTGATCTCAGCGACGAATCCTCCTTCTTGGATCGGATTATGAAGGAAGATGGGTTGAGAACGCTCCAGGGGAGACAAAACATGCTCAATGGTGTGGGTGAAGTAATTCAGAAGGCGAAGAACACCTTGATTGAAAATGCTAGCTCGTTTGCCAAGCGTCATCTGCCGCCATATATCGAAGAATTACTTACCCTGATCAACTTCCCCTCGCGTCTTATCCAGGAGATTATCCGCATGCGACTTTCCTATGCGAAGAACATGAAAGACCCTGCTCAACAGTCCCCAATCTTGGTGGACCAAATGCTTTCACAGTTTCAGATCCTGATGAAAGTTGCGGTGGACATCAAGCAACGATATATGGATATCGCTAGACCTGAGCCCGGCTGGGACTTGCCCCCTTGTATCGACGAGAATTTCGACTCGGTTGTCCTGGATGCCATGAAGTACTACTTCCGACTCCTCAATTGGAAGCTGAATGCAAACAAGAACACATTCAAGGAAGCGGAAATTCTGGAACAGGATTGGGAATTCTCTAATGAGGTCGGACGTCAACTTGATGGAGGTGACATTGAGGTTGCTGAGCAATATAGGTACGGGATCTCTCAAGCCACGATGTGTATGTTTGCTAACTCATGATCAGTGCCTTGACTGCGAAGTCTCTTCAACGCTTGATGATTCATTTCGAACGGGAATTGACGATACGTCCGAATGAGGATCCCATCGACATGGATAAGCGATATAAGAGCGTTCTTGATTCTACCCGTATTCGCCAACGGAAGCTCTATCGTTTCTCCCGCTTCTTGCGCCAATTGTTTGAAAATGCAACAGAGTACAACTTGCCAGCCGACATTGCCTATGACTTCCTGGAAGCGCTCCTCGTATCGGACCATTTCATTATCAAGTCTAACTCTACCACGAGCCAGAAGAACGTCTATCTCTTTGCGCATCCTGCGTTGTGGGGTCGTCCCGCAGATTTACAAGCAATCATGGGCACGTCCTTCCGTGAGGAAGATGCATCGAAAGACTCCCCTCACGCACCCTATATTTTGGTCATTCGTCCGGAGAAGCCATTGGCTTGGGCTGGCAAAGAGATGCAGCTCGAAACCATGGAACACCCCACAGACTTGCGATTAGGGAAATTGCGCCTCGTTGTTGAGGGCACCCAGCAGCGCCTGGCCAATGCTCGGGCTGAATTGGCGCATCTGACTGGAACGCATCTCGACATGGCCATTGAGCAACGGGCCAATCTCGGTCGCGTTAATGTGGAACTTAACAAGATCAAGAAGATTTCATTCAAGCTGTCCATGACAATCATGGACAGCGTTGCAATTATCCGCAATCAGCTGAGAGAGAAGGGAGTAGAGAATCATGACCTGGTGCAAGCATGCTATGCTTTTGCCACGGAATTTGGAAAGCGTTCTTCGAACGTTGACCCTAATAGACGCGCTATGAATAGTGCGAGACTTGTGGATTTGTCTCTTGATTGGGTCTCCTTCGTTTGCGACGATTGTGACGCTGCTGATCGAAAGACCTTCAAGTGGGCTGTCTCTGCCCTTGAATTTGCCATGGCCATTACTTCTAGCAGACATCTACTCTCCATGGACGACGCGCAGTTTGCTCGTCTACGACAGAAAGTGGCAGGGTGTATGTCACTCCTCATATCTCACTTCGATATCATGGGCGCTCGGTCTTCTCGTGCAGCTCAGGCAGAGAAGCAGCGCTTGGAAGAGCGTGCCGGCTCTAGAAGAATGGCCGCAGGCCGAGTTTTGACGGATGAGGAAGCGACCAAGCTTGTGCGAGAACAGCGTCTGGCTCACTTGATCCAGATTGAAGATCGGCGAGTCGATGAAGATGCGAAGCGTCAGGCACTCGGAAGAGTCCTGGAGGGATCCAATGAGGCTGATAGGTCTCTTACCGTGCTTTCGTCTTCGGCTACGAATGTCACTCTGCGCTGGCAGCAGGGTCAATTCATTGGAGGCGGAACGTTTGGATCCGTCTATGCTGCAATCAACCTCGACAGCAATTACCTCATGGCTGTCAAGGAGATTCGTTTACAGGATCCTCAGCTCATTCCTAAGATTGCCCAACAGATCCGCGATGAGATGGGCGTTCTGGAAGTCCTTGACCATCCCAACATTGTCTCATACCATGGAATTGAAGTCCATCGTGACAAGGTGTACATCTTCATGGAGTACTGCTCTGGCGGGTCGCTTGCGAGCTTGCTCGAGCATGGCCGTGTTGAGGATGAGACGGTCATCATGGTCTACGCTCTCCAGCTTCTGGAGGGATTGGCGTATCTGCACCA